CTGAGAAAAAGAAAGGATTTCTCACTGGGTCTGGTCACACGCTGACTTTGTGTTTTCTGGGCTTTGTTGCTATTTAACATCTGTTTTCTTTATCATTGACGTTTATCAGTTTTATGACAATTGCCTAGATTGAATTTCTTTTTATTTACCCTGATGAGTATATCTTGGATTCATGTCTTTTAACATTCCTGTAAACATCTCAGTTGTCATCTCCTTAAATACTCCCTTTCTTCCTTCCTTTCTATTCTTTTCTTCTAGGTCTCTGATGAGACATATTATGGACCTTCTCATTGTATTCTCCATCTGAGTTAACACTTCTTTATATTTTTCATTTTTTTATCTTACTGTATTGGTAATTTCTTCATTTCTTCCTTCTGATTCACTAATTCTATTTTTTGCCTTGACTAAATGCTGTATAATCTTGCTAGCAATGTTTTTTTATTTCAATAATTATAGTTTTTATTTAGAAAATTTTTAGTTTGTTCTTTTAAAATCTGCCTTGTCATTTTAAAAAAAAAATTATGGTAAAATACACATAACATAAAATTCGCCATCTTTGCCACTTTTAAGTGTACACAGTTTGGTTAATAGTAAATTCACATTGTTATGCAGCCAATCTCCATAGCTCTTTTTAGTTTGCAAAGCAAAAACTGCCTGGTCATTTTTGATAGTCATTTGTTGCTTGCTTATTTTTGTGATTCTGTCTTTTGCTTCTTTAGCCTTTTATATGTAGTTACTTTATAGTCAATATTTGGTAACTGAAGCATCTGAAGTCCCTGGTATGTCACATCTGTTCTTTGTTGTTTCTTTAGTCTCTTGCTTCTGATACTGTTTTGTTTACCTGTCTGCTTAGTAAACCTTAATTGCTAGCTCATACTTGGTTGATCCTAATCTGTAGAAAAAGTCTTGGAGCCTAAATCAAGGATGCTTTTCTCAGAGTGTTTGCTTTTGCTTTTGCCAGTAGCCATTGAGGGCGTGCTGCTGTCCTGAGACCATTCCATTGCTTTCCAGATGCTGCCATGTAACCCAGGACTTTTAGTTTCGTTCTCACACCCAGCCATAGAGCTGAGACCCAGCCTCCCAGAGGTTATGCGAGATCACCACGTGCCCTCACAGGACCCTTCCCCTTTCTGAGGCTCACTGCCCAGGGATTTTTTTGTTCTTATTGTTTGTTCCTTTTCCTTTTTGCCCTTGTAGACATTTTTAAAAATTTCCTGTGAGTCCAACAAGACAAGAATTTTTTTTAATTCAGATGCTTGTTTTACAGTAAAACAGTATGAGTATTAGTCTGCTGTACTTCTGGAAGCCTGAGCTGGTTTTTTTTTTTTTTGGAGACGGAGTTTTGCTCTTGTTACCCAGGCTGGAGTGCAATGGCGCGATCTCGGCTCACCGCAACCTCCGCCTCCTGGGTTCAGGCAATTCTCCTGCCTCAGCCTCCTGAGTAGCTGGGATTACAGGCACACGCCACCATGCCCAGCTAATTTTTTGTAATTTTT